GGATCACACGTCCGTATGTCAATCCAGGTCCTGATATAGAGCCTCTTTCACTAACACTCAGTGTAGGTCGTCGAACCCAACCCTCCGAGACACGGTTGCCAGTTTGTTTGCGTCCATAAAACACGATCCGAGCGCGACCGAATATGTTGATCCGTCCGGTACATACTATGAAGGTGGAAGTGAAACGGTTTGGACGAAGCCTCTGGGCAAAAAGGTCTTGATAGTGGATATCGACACGCGTGTGCCGACTGGCGAGAACGAGCTTCTCAACCCAGAACGCTTAGATTGGGACAACCTCAAGACCGAAGGCGCCGGCCTGGTCTCCAACTCCATCATGAACCATTATCTGTACGCCATGGTCCATGGCTACGACTATAAGTTCTATCAAGCGCGCGACATGAAGGACCACTACAACACGTGGATATTACCCCACGTCCTGCGCGAACTGATACCTGAATATCAGTTCGTGATTGTAATGGATGCCGACGTTACGATAGCGCATCCGGACATTCCCTTCGAGTGGATGTTCAACCGCTGGGGCATCAAGCAGCACACATCCATAGCTCTTCCATGGGATACCGAAGAAATCCGGGATGAAGGCTCGATTAGCCTAGACAGCAAGGGGATGCGCGTCCTCAATACCGGCCTTGTGGTTGCGCAAAACTCATCCACGACTTTGGAACTACTGGATGCGTGGCGCGATTGTACATCCGAAACACGCTACAAAGGCTGCGCGAAATGGAAATACGAATGGAGCCACGAACAGCGCGCCTTTTCAGAATACATCCGCTACGACTTCAACAAGACGCCAGAAACGATCGTTACCATACCCTGCGACGATGCGGTAGGGTGGCCCGGTTTCCGCCAGGATATGTTATCTCGTCCTGGTACCGCCAACAAGGATATATCGGATTGCAACGGGAACTTCGTTAGGCACTACACAACCATGGGAAAGACCCGTGTCAAAGATGCGAGCGCGTCTAGTGTGATGCAGATGTTCAGCGATGCGCTGCAGAAGAGCATCTTGGCAAACCCAAGTGAAGTCTGGTACAAGGAACCGGAAGAGAAGACCGAAATGCCAAAAGATCAGCCGGATGAGGTACGGGAAGATGTTCAGAGTGAATCAGACGCTGATGTGGTTCTGATCGAAAGATGAAAGCTAGGTTTTCTTTTCGATAAATTTTCTTTCGGCATTCGTTTCGCATCGTGCCAGCGCTTTAGATGCCACTATATTATATTATAGAAATTGTTGTACATTGAACTACTTGATCTCCGTTAGCACTAATAACATGCCAATTGGTTCTACTGGTACAATATTGTGCAAATCAGAGCTATCTTCTACTCGCGCATCGAAACCAAAGTCTGACCCAACCCAGTGTACCCGGGCTAGCTTTCGCAAACCACGAGGCGCACGAAGGAAGGGCCGGAACTAAAGAATCTCGGTTCAAGTGTAATGTGGGATCATCATCGAAGGAAGGACAAGGTGGAAGGCGACGAGAGAGCAACTTACTATCCCTTCATGCATGCGCTCTGGTTTAACGCGTCATTTGCATGGTTAGTGGCGGCGCGTGGGTGGGTGAGGTGGTTGGTGAGCTTGACGCGTCGACAACAGGCACGAGAAGGGGGAGACTAAAAGCTGGAAGAAAGCTTAGCCGAGCGATTACGTCAACTAGCGCGTTTTGTCTCTCTGGCAGCCCTGGAGTGCGGGCTACCATTCATCTGCCACTATCTATTGCATCTCTGCCTCTCCACCTTTGCATTACATGTTTACAGAATCTCCTCGGGCTTGACAACAACCCAGTTCTTGTCCGCCGTAACCTCCCTGCCATTGGCAATCTGCGCCTGAGTGTTGTTCCTGATCTCCTCTTGCAGAACCTCAAAGTACGCGTCTCTACGGTTGATCCACAGATGCACACCACCCTTTGCCGTGTCGACCCCATGGAACTGCATGTACGAATCGCTTCCGGGAGTATCACCACCAGCCAAGATGGGGCGCTTCCATTGATCGATGTAGGTAAGGATAGCAGCCCATTTTCCGGCAAACCATGTAGCAGGTGTCCACAGATACGGAGTCACGACCAGGTCGAGATTAGCGGTCTCGTTGTAGGTTCCTTCTGTGATCTGCTTGCGAGCGTTGGTGAGCTCGCCGGAGGTAACGTTCTTCAGGACGGTGGTAACACCAATGACGTTTTGAGGTGGTACGTTGTATCCGTACTTCGGGTCGCTGGCCACCATGCGGACAAGCTCCTCATGCGCAGCGCTGATAACATAAACGGCGATGCCATTGTCCATGAGAGCATTGTAGAGCTCGACCTGGCCCCGGAACACCTTCGGCGGGTTTACGCTGCTGGATGTGACTTCGTCACCGTCCCAGTACTTCGTGGGAATGGATGAGTTATATGCCATGAGCTCATCCACGTAGGTCTTGAGTTCGCGCAGTGTGAAACCAGACCAGATTTGCGCGGCCCATGGATAGCAGACAAAGTCGTCAATCTCGCACAGGCGGTTGTAGTAGCTGTACAACGGTTCAGTAAAGTTCGCAGTGTCCTTGAAATCGACCAATTTGAGGCTGGGGTCCAGATTATCGCGCGTTAGGACTCCACGGTTCTCCAGGAAAGGAAGAAGCGCTTCTTCGAGATCGTAGCGGTAACTAGTGTTGTCCATGTCGAAGACCGCATAGTTGCTTTGATTGGCGTTCTTTGCGATCATGGTGGAGAGGGCAGTCGCTGCCTCAGCAGGCCAGTGCTTGAACTGGACCTTTGGAGGAGTGCCATACTGGGGTGTGGCTGAGCTGAAAGAAGCCGTGAACGCAAGCCATGCGGCTGTCTTGAGGGGAGTTGACGACAACATCCTTTCCGTATTACCAGCTGCAGCGAATTGAACAAGGAAACGAGCGAGTGAGAATGCAGAACCAAGCCTTCGGGGATGTTGAGATTCCAGAAGAAATACTGCGGGGGCTAGGATGCGTGAACCCTGGCGCATCAATACTGCCGACGTGAACGACCGAGATAACGGTCCCACACTTACGATTCAAGTTCGGGCCTACCTTGAAGAATGTCTTGAATCTGTTGGTCGCGCTATCCTCAATTGATGCTTTTGCGCGTTGCTTGATCTACAATGTAAGAGGTATGCCATGCGGCTCTCGACCGCTTGCGACAGTTTACCGCAGGTATGAGTAAGGCCGCCTCTCCATGCCTAGAAAGATACAAATAACTGGTGCTGTGCAGCGCAATCTGCACGAGCGACTTAAGTCGCTCTTTCCTCAACAAGATGTCTTCAATGTCTTCTCTAATATACCTCCACAGGAAAGCCTTTGCTATCTTTGTAATCCGTGTCTATCCGATATCCTGTCTTGTTATTTGGCTGCTCTAACGCAACTCGATACGGATGGACGAGCCCATCCGTTCCACCCTGCCTACGCTGGCTGGCGACATCTCGATGCCGACATGTATGCGTGTAAAAGCATTTTGGCAGACACTGGGTTCGGATGGAACTTTAGCAACAATCGTTCGTTTATTTGCAGCCTCTGACATGACATCGCTCATGCAGCCACACCTGCATCCTATCTCGAATGACGTCGTGCACATCAGACAACACTGTTGCGCCAAGCAGGCAGCCGCTGCGATTATATCATCAATTTCATCTACATCCTCACGACTACATCTTCGTGACTGTACCTTGACACCGATTACGCCTCCGCCTCGAACGCGCATTGTCATGTTGCGCCCATACTCCTTCACCAGTGCCTGCACGGCCCAGCTGTCAGAGCGATGCGTCAGCAATTGTGGTTGTCTGTTCGGGCCCGCCAAACCCACCCTCGATTCACACAACAACAACGCCGGAGTCGCGACATGACCACTGGCATGTATCCGCTGATTGCACCCGCTGCTTGCGCGCCTTTATCGCGTCCATGTTTCTTGTCAGCCAACGAAGGACGAGAGCCCAAGACGTCGCAGGATCACCATTAGAGCCCCACGATGGGCGTTGTACTGACACCAGCCATCAACTTCGCGGCTCCCTCCTCGACGCTCACCCGCGATTGCCGCTTCCTGACCAACGACGCTCTCTCGCCGTGGTAACTTCCTGACCACTGACGCCTACTCGAGACCGTCGCTTCCCCGCGACCGCCGCTCAGGCCCCAACCCGCAGTTCTCTTACCACCGAAGTTCCTGCGCCTTGCCCACAACACCACACTCTAGTCTTCATTGCACTTGCCTTGAAGTCCTGCTCAGACGCTTAACGGCGGCATGTCGAGCCAAGGCGGCAGAATGTCGGAGTGCCAGCTACGAAAGGAGGAGAGACGGCATAACTACCAGCGCGGTCGGGTGGAAAAGAAGTCTGCACAGGACAGCATGAGGGACATTCTGCCTCTTGACCTCCCGAACCAACGTCGGGTTCACTTGCTGAAGTCCAAGTACGGGCCTAAGTTCGTCAAGAAAGGACCCTATTCCGACAGATTTGACTGGGGTATTGGTCTAAATTTGAAAAGGCGCCTTTTCTCGCTGCATTGTCTAGTCCGACAAAGCCGGCGCTTGACGATGCCATCCAAAGCATGATGCGCAACCTTGAGGCCGCATTTGCTACTATCTCGGGGCACATTCGCGCATTAGACCCGGATGCCTACGCGAGGATGCGCTTCAGCCACCGGCCGATTGTAAAGCCGGCGCTGAATGAGTGAGAATGAGTCAGAATGACGTCGGCGTCCTCACGCCGATGCACACAAGGATTGGCTCTAGCGTGTACCTTGGCATCACGTGCTCGCAGAAGTGCCCTTCATCGCACATATCGCAACCTTATTACGGTGGAATGTTGATGGAGAGCAGGGATATCGCAACATTAGTACTATCCATTTCAGCCCTTCTAGTTCTTCAAGCGCGCTGGTCGCCCTCGTACGCATAATCTATAAATTCCAACGACTTCCTTCTTGCACCCCAAACCATCCAATTTTCAATACGCATTTCTACAAGAATCACTCATCTACTCGACTGAACAATCTCAGCATGGTCAAGAAAGTAGCTCTCATTACTGGCGGGGCTAGTGGAATGGGACTCGCTGTTGCTGAAGCCCTCGCAGCTCGTACTAATGAAGAGTGGGACCTGTACCTTGTCGACCTCAGCGCTGACAATCTCACGAAAGCCACGTCCTCGCTCAAGAATGGGCACGCTCACCAGGCGAATGTAGCCGACTACGCCTCGCTGGTAGCGGCTTTCGAATCAGCATGGACAAAGTCAGGTCGTCTCGACTTCGTCTTCGCGAACGCTGGTATCGCCGAAAAAGACAGTGCGTAGCAATCCTGTTCGTATGGCAAATCAGACACCAACTGACTTGATCACCAACACCTAGATTTCTACGAAGAACATGCTCTCGACGCGCCGCCTCCACCGCCGAACAGCCTCGTAGTCGATGTCAATTACACGGCAGTGATAAACACCTCATGGCTCGCGTTCCACTACTTCCGGAAATCCCAGGCCAAGCATGGCAGAGCGAACAATGACGCGGCCCTAGTCATGACTGCGAGCTGTGGTGGCCTCTATCCAGCCGAGTTCGGCCCTATGTACTCTGGTGCTAAAGCGGGAGTAATCCACTTTAACCGTGCTATCACAGTAGCATACCACCATGCTGGCATTAGGACGTTCACGGTCTGCCCAAGCATCGTTCGCACCGGCCTGTTGAGCGAAGAGGAATGGGGATCTCTCCCAGAGAGCTTCATGACACCCATGGAGACAGTCGTTGACGCCGTGGTGAAGGTGGTGGATGGAGGAGACATTGCGGACGGTAACGGAAAGAAAGTGGCGGGCAAAGACAACTGGGGTCTGACTGTGGAGCTTTTTGGCAAGAACTTCTACTTCCGAGACGGTGTAGAGTACTGTGATGAGGCTATGAGGACTATGGCGACGAATACAGGCATGAAGGCGCAGCTAGAGAGGATCGGGAAGACAAAGGCGGAGGGCGAACATGGAGCGTGGGGAGGTATCGGCGATAAAGTTTGACACCAGGCCAGTCCGACTCTTAACAATAAAACATCGGTTCCCGCATTCTATGCCACCAATTCAGACAACTCAGCCTGTGGCCTGTCACGCTTCTCCGCGGGTAGTATAGGTATCGACCTCTGCGATGGATGTCCCGTTGGGCCGCCAGCTCCAGACATTCTTGTCTCTAACGCCTTTATCCTCCGATGGTACCTACAAAAGAACCATCCTACTGTTACCAATGCCATCACTGCGAACGCTGCGCCTAATGCTACCCCTGTTATTGCACCGCCCGAGAGTGTCTTGTTGTGCCTCTCGGTTGTTACGCTGGATACAGGCGATAAACCAGTGGATGAAGAGACCGAAACGGAGGTCGTCGTCAAACTAGTAGTAAATGCGATGAGTGACGTGGATGATTGATCGTATACCGTTGCTACGCTGGAGACTGGCAACCAAGTAATGGTTGAAGAGGATGGCAGGGAGGTCATCGTCATCTCACTGGTCGTAGGAGTCAAGAGCGATGTGAACGATTGATCGTAGAGAGTTGGGGCACTATCGATATCTGACACGATCGTGAACAGTGGACCCTGCGGCCCGTCATTGCCGCGATCATAGTATTGGATGTCGAAGTAACATGCGATGGGACCGTTCCAACCGCTGCTTGTATCCAATTTTTCCTGGGGCGAAAAGGTCATTTCGCCGGTTGATTCGACCTCCCCTAAATTCACTCCAGACCCTATAGTATCTCAGCTTCAGCAATTTAACCTGATTTGATGTTGAGCTTAACTGAGAAACCTTACAAGGGTGATTACATACATTCTGCCTGGTCGCCAGTTCCAGTGGTGGCATCACACCACAAGTTCAAGTAAGCGCGATCGTAGTTGGACGTCCATTTGACGTTTACAAAATCGTAAACGTTGATCGTCAAGATGGAAGAAGCGATTTCCGGGTACAGGAAAGAGGCTGAAGACGATTGTGTCGCGGCACAGCGTAGAAGAGTTGCCAAGACAAAACGAAGTGATTGCCATGATTTGGGGTGAATCATGATGTAATATAGAGAACGACTGGTGTATCTTCAGTAGAAAGTGAGCGCATGCATTGAAGGAGTAGGTTATGACACCACGCTCGCGAAATGTCAGAGTTAATGGGTCAAATATAGACAACTGCGTGGAATTACCGCTGCCCTCTAGTTGCCAAAGTCTCCTGCAGGTTCGTTGTGTAACTTGTACGTTCAATGAGTTTCGTCGTTCGTTCCAGACCAATCCAAGTGTGACTGCGCCACCACGCGTGATATACTCGTGTGACCGTTGTGCGGGTTCGTGCCTGGACCTTGTTCGTTTTGGAATGGCGACGTGAGGTTACACTGGCAAATGTCGATCGCTGGTATTGTGGATTCGGAAGTTCCTAGTTATCGGCACACCTGAATTGAGTAGTAATTGATCTCATTGCACATCGATTCTACAGGGTAGTCCTAGCACTCGATTTCTTGTTCCATGTTGTCTTCGTTGTATTTGTCGTCCTCACCGTACCGCTTCATTGTCCATGATCTCTAGCCCAAGATCGCGGCAGCCTTGTAGATCTGGTACATCGCTAGACCGCTTCCGATAGCCCAAAGGCCGCTCCTGATCATGCTCTTCGAGTAAGTCGCGATTTGCACATATGCCAGAGAGTACGCGGCCCTGACTACGAACCAAGCTGTGACAAATGTTGTCAAGCCCGTCGCATCGCCTGAGATGACCTCTCGTCCTATCCCTGTTGCGGTGGTGCGTTCGGCAATGATGCTAGCGATAACGGCGGCGGCGAAGAGGGGCATTTGTTCCATATTGTTCGACTGGGCGTTCTCGGCGCGTTGGTACTTTTTGAAGCTGTAGGCATGTTAGTATCGTGCTAGCAAGGGACTTTTGGTGGGGAGAGTGGGGAAGCCTTACACAGCATCGGGAACCTTGCCCTTCACGGCTTCCGGTGACAACGCCGCCTTGGGGTTCGTGTTGTTGATCTTGTAGCCGTTGGCTGTGAGAAGGCTAGCTGCGTATATGTGCGGGACGAGAGAGAAGACATAGTAGGCTGGAATGGCGAGGAGCGGGTAGTTGAGCGAGTTGGAAGACATTGTGGCGGTCTCTGGATCGATTTGAGGGTGCGTCTTTCGAGGATATCGTTCAATTGACTAAGTTGGAGTAAGGCGGAAACTGCGGGCGTGATATCGAGTTGGTGAGGGGTGTAATATACATCGGGACATAGCTGCGGGTTGACTTCGGGTGCGTTGACGTAGCTATCAAACCTTATGGGCTCAGGGTCCAGCAATCATGACGCGTATCTTCTTCGGCATCTTCACCCAAGGCATCAACATAAGGTGCTTCGATATATTGAGTTTCTCGGCATGTTCGTAGGGTTCGTCGTATTGTGAAAGGGCCAAATAGTGTCCCAGTGAACTTACATCGAGGGGCCAAGGTCGACGCGCCTGCCGTTCGAGGCCATCTCGGAATAGAACCTGGGCTTACTCAGCCACGCTACGAAACACGCCAGACTCGCCGTGCTGCCACACCTTTGACCCTCATGACAGCCAACCGCTGATGAAAATACTGATAAATAGCGTGTAAGCGTCTCTCTTCTGGCGAGTTGTCGCACCGAGGTTGAGGTTCTATCGGACTCTGTTCGTTCGCGAATCGCATACGCCACCTTTCTCCTCTTGACGAATCCGAGCCCTAATGCTTCATCTTCCTCGAGATACATCTCATGCAGCCTCTGAAGTGTTAGTTTTCAGAGACTAGCTCCGCCGCAGTACTCAGAGGTCTAGTTGAAACTCAATCGCGGCTGCCGACGTCGTTACAAGCAGTGCTTCTACTAGGGCCAATCGCCTATGCAGCGCTCAGCCTGCGCCATGCAACCAGGCGCGAGCCAGCCTTGTCAACTTCGATCGTATGCTTCACTTCTAGCCTCTCAAGAACTTCGAGGCTACCTACCTTTTTCCTTGTTGCCTGTTAACGCGTTTCCCCATAGATACTGCGAAGGCCGTCTTTACCTAGCCACCACCGAACGAGCCCAGAGCTCAGCGTGTTGTACGTTAGCTTTCTGAACCTGCTGAGATTGCGATCCAGGTCGTTACTCTAGCTACGAGCCGTGGGGACTTCAAGGCAAGATAGTAGAGCTGTCAGGCCAGCAGCTAACATGTGTTAGCCGCGCCCTACGCTTATCGTTACAACACAGCGACTACCTATCCTCACGTACATGTAATTCCTGCCCACAATGAACGGCGGCAACGGCCCCAAGCGGATGTTGCGCATCGAAGAGGGTCAACACTACTTCCTCGAACCCAACGACGAGCTGCCGTACAAGTTACTTCGCAATCTGGGACAAGGGGGATTCGCCAACGTGGAAGAGGTCGAGGACCGACATACTGGCGCGGTCTTGGCCTGCAAGGTCTTAAAATTTGTCGGCTCTTCAGTTGAGAGACAACGCCTTTTTGACAACGAGGTCAAGGTCATACGCCGGTTAGCCCCGCATCACCACATCACTCGGATCTTTGCGACATACGTAGGGAGGCGTCAAATAGGCATCTTACTGACACCAGTCGCCGATCGCGGCTCGCTGGAAACATTCCTCCAGGATGCTCATGACGGTCTCTTTACGGGGACTGAGTTAAATACCTTGTACAACTCGTTTGGGTGTCTCGCTAGTGGCTTGCAGTTCATGCACGCTCAAAGAGTACGACACAAGGACATTAAGCCATCGAACATCCTAGTACATGGAGAGTCTGTAATTTACACGGACTTTGGCTCGTCCCTGGACTACAGCGCAGCCACGCGCAGCATTACGACAGGCCGCCTTACCTCCATAACCCGCAAATATGCTGCCCCGGAGTTGCACGAACGGTCCCCACGCAGTTCTAAGACAGACGTATTTTCGCTTGGTTGTGTCTATCTTGAGATCCTTAGTGCACTTGTACTGGGTCCACTAGACACAGACATGACTCCATATCGAGAACACATCGAAGGGTTCTTCACACTCATGCGGAGGACAAGTCCTAACTGTGACATCTGGCTCCAGGTTGTCATTGACACAACATGTCAGATGCTCAACGTCGAACCTGAAGGCCGACCGTCGGCTGAAATGATTACGAGCCAGCTATGGACGTGCTGGCCAGACGCTTTTTGTGGGCAGTGCATAAGGAGTCTCAGTTTACAGGCCCAATTCGTACCTCCAGTGTATTCAGTCTGTACTCCAGCGATAGTCGAGGATTACTGGTTCGGTCAGAACTCGCTCATGTCTTATGATCCCCGGTTCCAATCACCAGCAATGCCTATCTTTGAGGCGAATCCCATATTTGATGTCCCGTTTCAGCAGCAGATGGTACCTCAGCCGGAGTCACCGCCAACGTCCGGAGAGGGTTATCATATACACCCATGGGCCGACCCTGCCCAGGCTGCTACATCGGCCTATGCGTCATCACTACGAACCGGTGACGTTCTACCATCCTCAGGACGTCTGATTGGCACGGGGCCGTCTTTTGGCGCGATGGAACCGCTTGAAGATTGGACCTTTCTCCCGACAGCAGTACGAGCCTCTTCGGATTCGATCGTGCGTCGTTCTGGTCGTTCCCCCACGAAGAAAGATTTCCCATGTTCATTATGTGGAGAGATCTATAAATGCAATGCCGAATTCAAGTATAACTACCAGATTCCCGCAACTAGCTGCCTGCTAACATGAGCACAGGAAGCATATGTTAAAGCATGAAAAGCCATTCATATGCGACGTTCCTGGATGTAAAAGGACAGAGGGGTTTACTACATCGAATGATCTTGAACGCCATAAGAAATCTGTGCATAGTATCGAAATAGATGCAGGTGCTTACCGTTGCGCTATAGAAGGTTGTAGGAAGCATGAGAAGATATGGCCGCGAATGGAGACTTTCAGACAACATGTTGAGCGCATGCACAAGGAAGAGGATGTGGTCGATGTGCTGGAACGGTATGATATCCTAACGAATACTATCGAACGACGACTAACAAGCTGAAGATCGAGGT